TAGTTTAGCTGCCCAATTTAATACTGGGGCTCCTGGGGACACGGTTCACTGCTGTCATTGTGGATCATCCGGATTTGTTGGAGCACCGATATCAACAGCTAACACCTAGTGCTCAGGATGCGACAGGCTCTAATCCAGGGGCTTCACATGGGTTATTTCCCTTAATCCTCACAATAGCCCTAGGAGGTAAGCAGCATTATCATCATTTCTATTTTATAACTAACGAAACTGAGGCACAGAGATGAGGAACCTGACCAAGGTCACTCAGCTGCGGAGCGGCCAGAGGGATTCAAACCCCAGCGACCTGGCTCTGAATCCATCTCTCGCCCCATCCTCCTCTTACTCCCCAGTCTCTCCTCCCCCAAATCACCTTCACAAACGAGAAACATTAAAAGACAGAACAACTGATAAAGAACCGTGTTCCCACCATCTGAACAACAGAAGCTACACTTTTCAGAGACACACAGAGCGTGTAACTGGCAGTGCTGTCAGTGGTGTGACCTCACCCATGGAGCAGCAGCAACTGCTTTACTCTCTGGTTCAGGGAACAGTGGCCTCCCACAAAGAGCAAGCCAATAATGGATTGCGTCAGAAACAGTTAGTGCCCACACAGGCCCCTCCAGCATCATACTTATAGTCTCTGCCAAGACTTGAACGAGGGACGTGGTCGGGATGGTTGTGTAGTCACTAGTCCTTATGGGACCATGGTGAGGCCTTCCCTTCATTTCCTGACATGTGTCTGGCTTTGCTGGATTCCTCACTAGGCTTTCTGTACATCCTGAGCGGCACCTCTGGAAACAACTGTGGCAGTCCAGCCCCTGGCAGAGCACCGAGCCCAGCGCGGGCATTCAGGGAATACTTGGAAAGTGAAGGCACAGTGCTGCCTGCAGTTTTAGAAGACCTTGGCACCAATAACGGGATCACCACATCAGAAATCTTTAAAAGGGACAATGACTGTGCTGCTAGCAATTCTGCCTGGCTCTCTAGAAGGTCCAACTTCAGCCACCATCATCCAGAATAAAATCAAATGCGCCAATGCAAGCAAACAACCACCCCCCCCACAGTCGGATGCGTTCCAGATGACGGGAAGAGACGCACTCCCCTCTCCTCTCCTCACCTTTGCTACCCAGTAGCCTGACATAAACGTCCCCTTTAGTTCTGGTTCTCTTCAATGGATACTTAATGTGAAAGTGCTCTTCCTTCTAAATCAGCTTCTTTCTCCATCCTTGTCTCCATTATACAGACCAGAAATGGCCTCCGATAGTGGTTAATGGTATTTCCCACTCTGGCCAGGGATAAAACATTGGGATGGGCCGGTGGGTGGGAAGAACACAATTTTCTCGACCATCTTCCCTGCAACAAACTTCAAAGACCTTATAAAAGATGGGTGCAGGTAAGCAAGAAGAATGAAGGTGGTCACGAACAAATGAAAACTGGTTAGTTGTCCATAAAATTAAGAAACTGTCCTGTGACCTAGATAGAGAGTAACTCAAGTATGTATGGATAGAACACAACATAAGTATGATCCTGAATGACTGAGAAAATGTTTAATAATAAATATTCCTCATAATCATGTGTTTGAGTCCCAAAATGCATCAGAAAATAAGGGACAATTACTTATTCACACTTTATAGACAGTAAGTAAAGCTGAAATGATTTAGTAAGAATCATAAGAATTTCCCACACTTACGGTAAACTTTAAATAAAAATGCATTTTTACAACTATCATCTCATTTGACTCTTACTAAACTCTATGAGGTGAGTACTCTCCTCATTTTATCAAAACAGGAGGGCTCAATCGGGGAAGGGAATTTGCTTAAGATGACGTACATGTAGAGACACAGCACCGACTATTTCACAGTTTGGGATTTCCCTCAGTGAGGACCATCAGTGGGATAATTTCAAGTATTACTCTACTCCATGCCACTCTCAGGAAGTACTCTGAATCTGCCATTACACAGCCCCTTCTACTGACATGAAAAGGACTCTGCTCCCAATGTGAGGGGCCAGGCACCCCTCGGCCGTCAGGATCAATGTGGATCAGTGTGGACAGACTATGAGATCTTCTTATGAAAGATGGAGAATCTTTCTTTTTTGTAATCTCTATACTGTTGACTTCCAATTTTAAACAAAGCCTGTAATCTTTAAATAACTATGATTGTAGTTATGACCATCCACCTTTAAAGGCACTTCAGTAATTTGAAATATTGCATTGCATCCTTGTTAATCAGAAAATGAGAGTGCATTTTTCTGCTAGAAGCATTAGTTGTGTGATTTTGTGTATTTTATTCAAGCTCTCTGAGCCTCAATTTCCTCATCTGTAAAGCTGGGAAGAGGAGGAGAAGCTGAAGAACAAGATGTCCTAGGCCCCCGCTCCATTCCACGCATGACATACAATGCTCCACGAGCCCTCAACAAGCCTCTGAGGTACACATGGTGACTATCGCCCTCTCAAACATGAGAGAACTGGGGCACAGAAACTTGAAGTAACCTGCCCAAGGTCAAACACCAAGTCGGAGAACCAGGACTCACAACCTGGCATCCCGCCTGCAGACATGTTCCTCTCAATGGCCAAGCAACAGTGCGGCACAAGGTGTATTATGAGGATTAGATGAGATAACGCCCACAGGAGGTCGGCACACCACCCCACATACAATAAGGACTCGAGAGATGCTGCCAAGGATCAAAACAAATTTTTTTTTTTGAGGAAGATTAGCCCTGATATAACATCTGTGCCCATCTTCCTCTATTTTATATGTGGAACGCCTCCACAGCATGGCCTGATAAGTAGTGCGCAGGTCCGCGCCCAGGATCCAAACCAGCGAACCCTGGGCGGCCAAAGCAGAGCGTGAACTTAACTACTATGCCACTGGACCAGCCCCAAAACCAAGCGAACTTTCAAAATAATATGTAGTACTCTGTAGCTGTATTTGGCAATGTAACATATATACTTATATAAAATATATATACATATTATCACATACACAAAATAACTGTCAGCAAATAGATCTTTTATCATCATATACCTCAGCAAATAACTAACCTTTGAGATTTACATTTTCCTTTTTTTGCTAAACTAATGAAGTACCAATAAACTCGGAACACGTCCGAATTTGTTCTGAACATACTGTAAGGAGACAAGACTGTTAGTCGAATATTCTCTCTGGCTGCACACTAAGAGAGTATCAGTAGTATCTTCTCTTTTTTAGATGTGAAGATTTACAAAAATAAAATTGTAGAACATGTCTTTCTCACATATTCAACATATGAAATCATGACCCACCACTACTTTGGATGGAATAAGTGACCTGTCTCATCACTATTAACAAACGTTTATGGAGAGTTTGCCTCAAATATCAGATCTTCATGAATACAGTAGAAGTAACGGAGCTTTCCATTTGGAGTGGCTGTCTAAAAAATAACTTTCTGTTCACGACCATAAGCAGGTGTTTGTCTCTTTGACCCCATGCACGACTACCCCAAGAACCACTCTCCAGTGGGCAAAAGTGATGGATTTACTTTATCATCCACAAAGTCGAAAAGGTGTCAAATGAAACCTTAGGGATAATGCCAAGTCATAACTACTCTAAACTGAAATAAATCAGTGATTATATTTGCAGCACTCCAAAATATCTGAATGTTTCCAAATATGAGTTTGAAACAAGTACTGATTTTCATTCTAATGCTTGGATATTAGGTAAAGTTCGCCTGTTTATAATGCCAAATATACTAAGTGGTAACATAATATTCTAAGTTAGCCAATCTTTAATCTGAAAGTATGTGTAACTCATAATAAAACTGGCTCAACCCTCCTACTCCCAAAATCCTTATAAACAAAGATATGTAACTTACGACAAGGTGACATCTGGAATATCTGCCAAGACAATCTTTTCCTCAATAGTTCAAGAAGAAATATTATTAAGGTTAAAACGTATTTTTACTATACATTTGCAATTGTACACATGAAATACTATTATTATTATAACAGACGTTTCTCCGTCTTCTCAAACGTGAGTCTGATACATATCTGGCAGTTACTCTACGTCTTATACTTGATGGGCAAATTTTATATATATTTCTTTTTTTATTCTTTTATAGATAATAGCCAATCTATTTAGCTAATTTTATTAACATGGACCTATTCAGTAAATGTAATTACAAAGCATGTAATATTACAAAGGAAAAAATAAAGCTTAAATAATCTGGATATAAAGGAAAATTGATACCACTCTAAATGAAAAAAAAAAATCACATGGAAATGAAATAATGAAAGAAATCATTAGTATGTATGATGTAAGGACTAGCCAGATTGGCCCTTTACTCACCAACCTGGCTAATTTTAGGTATGTGACGTTTCAGTGAGATATCCCAATGATTACGGAATTGTCAAGCAATTAATGCAGGTCATACATCTTATAAAATATATCGATGAGTTTATATAACCAAACTAATATTCTGCTTCACCATTTTCAGTATGATATTTTTTAGCCAGCCCCAGTGGTCTGGTGGTTAAGATCCTGTGCTCTCACCGCCACAGCCTGGATTCGTTTCTGGTCAGGGAACCACACCCCGGGTCTGTCGGCTGTCATACTATGGTGGCTGTGTTGCTGTGACGCTGAAAGCTATGCCACCAGTACTTCAAATACCAGCGGGGTGACCTATGGTGGACAGGTTTCAGCAGAGCTTCCAGACTCAGACAAACTAGGAAGAAGGACCTGGCCACCCACTTGTGAAAAAACGGCCATGAAAACCCTATGATACAGCACAGGAGGGGAGCGGATGGCGCTGGGTTCTGCTCTGCTGTGCACAGGGTGGCTCGAGTCAGGATTACTCACAGAGCTAACAACAAAAAATGTATTTTTTAAAAACTTGCTTAATACTTAAGAAAAACTATTATAGTTTTACATATTCAGAATGCAGGGCCAGCCGAGAAGCCTATTTTATGTAACAGGAAACTGTTGGTGAATTCTTGAATCACAAAATGTTAAAAAGCCCAGACATCAGAGACAGTGAAAGATTTTATTTTTTCTTTTACCTTCATCCAAACACACCCTTTTCTGAAAAACATAAAAGCATGCACATTGATGGCATTCTTACAAAGAAAAACTAAGTAATAACTAAGCTGTAAATCAACAATAACACAAACAAAAGGTAAAATGATAGCATGTGAAAAGATTTACAGGTAGACACAGGGCTCTTAATTTTAGAAAATAATAATTCAGGTCACATCAATACATGTTAAAAAGAAGCTTCTAATTTTCCAAATATTTTGATACAAAATTTTTTAAACTAATAAATATTTTATCGACCTTTTGTGAGAATATAAGGACAGCTGTAAGAACATGATGTTCAAGAGATCTTACACAGTTCACTCGGCCTTCTTAAAATCAATTACAATCAACATAACTCTAGTGGTATATCCATGATATTCAAAGTAAGTTACACAACTTACATTTACTTTGATCTAATTAGAAATAGGTTCTAACTTCAGGACTGTTAAAAAAAAGTATTTAACAAGATATGAATTGATTTAAATTTCACTTTACAGGTAAGAGAAAATTGCAATTTGGCATGAGAACATTTCTCAGAAGTTTTACCTACACCCCCAGGCATCATTAGGCCAACTGTACCCCGCGGGAATGTGTGTCTACAAGCGCGTGTGCACAGATACATTCTAACACATACAAACCCATTCAGACCACCCACTTCTTCGAAGGGGTGGCTTGAAATGGTTTACTCTCTGGTTCTGAAGATTCAGTTACACAAAATTTCCCTTAATTACTGTTTTCATTTTGTGTATCCTGATTCAACTGGTGTGTTTCATCTGGGGAACTGATAGAATTTTACAAGAAAATCTATTAGCAGTAAGCAGAAATGTTATCTTAAAAGACTCTCAGGCAATCAAGTTTAAATTATAACATAAAACAGAGCAGGTCGCACTTTAAGAAAGGTCCTCTTGCATGGGATATATTGTCCCATGGCTGAAAATTGTGTGATTTGGTTGCTAAAACACGGCCCTTGTTTTGAGGTGATATACAGATTAACTGTAAAACCTATTAAAACTAATGGTGACTGAACCAATTCACCGAGTCCTCATGGATCAAGCCTGTGTTTTACCGGCCTCTGCCGCAGCCAGTGGAGCTCACTCACCAGAGCTTCCACAGTTCAGCTCTGCACCAGGACACTCCAGCTACACGCTTCCTCGCTGCAAGTCTGCTGTGCCTGCCCCCGAGCAGCACAGTGCTCAATCCGAGGGAAGAACTCAAGCACCGTGGAGACCGACCATGAGGACATAAAAAGCCGTTTGGATTAAATATCTTGCTAAACCCAAGAGTAAGAGGCAAAAGGCACACGCTAGAAAATCTAGTCAGACGTCTGAAGGCTCCCAACACCTCAAATATCTGTGGACTCAGGTCCAACGAAGGTATACACTGATTATTTTGACGTAAAAAGTAACAGGAAACCTTAAGGTTTTCAAGTCCTTATGGCACAGATGTTGCGAAGTACTCAGAGCTTAGCTTAAAACTGCAAAAAGCTGGGCAATTTAAAGTTCTGCTACAATGCATCAGGGCCACAATTTTAACTCAAACTTAATTCTCACATGTCATACATTATTCTTTTGTGTAGGGTACAAGGTGTGCAAAGTAAGCTGTCTCAATAAATATTAGAAATGTTAACTACTTTGCAAATATACAGTAAGTGAAATCAGCTAATAAGGCGACACAATAAAAGCGTGCACTAACCAGAGCTTCCTCCCCACAAGCATTTCTTGCCCCTTTCCTTGTATCTTTCTCGATACTTAAATATAATTTCTTTGTCTTGGAGAAATTAAGCAAAAAGCAAAATATTACATAGCTGCAAGATACTAAATACTTTAGGGATAAGAGTTTGGACCAGTCAAGTTGGAAAAAATTGAAAATAACAAATATAGTGAAATATACTGCAAATTAATGTTCATGAATGCAGCTATCTGAATTACAAAACAATAACAAATTATACAATCCTAATAATCTTCAGAAGTTGACATTAGTTCACAGGAAACATCAAGTACAGCATAAACTCTGTTTAGCTTTTCCCTTTCCGGCAGCTTCTGTACTAAAGTTGTAAGACGTGTATGTTTGCCCAAGACCAATAGCATATTGGCTTTAGTCAGAAATTCTATTTTATCCAATGTTCAATCAATAAGGCTTTATTTACACTTCTTATTAAATTCAGGAAACAATTTGATGCAATGGGCGGCTGCCAATAAGAACCCACGTAGCACATTCCACTGCCTGGAGACAGCCGCTTGTTTATGCTTTAATACTAACCCACAAGCAGCCAATTAAGGTTCCGTAAATCCACGTTTTTACATATAGTTTCCTTCCAGCCTCAGTCATAAGCATACCAGCAGTCAAACTACTTAAGATCAATAATGATGGTAAAGTCTTCTTGAGACTTAGTTTAGAATTAACACTTTTCCCAGGAAATTTGTTTCTTCTTTCTGGATCCAGTGAATCATAGAATTCTATAAGCAACCTATGGCCAGAATGGAAAAAGAAACTTTAAAATTTCAGGTTTAGTCATTTCAATATTCTAATTCAACAAATATCTCTTGGGTGCCTATTAGGTGCTGGAGAAGCTATAGGTCTTTGAGAAAGAAAGATGAATAAGGAAACACCAGAAACTTGGTTTAATTGGAGTTTCCAGACTTTACAAATATCTTTAATATGTTCTATAATTAGTGTAGACGAGTTGTATTATAAAAACAGATGGGTTTAAGTAATTTTATGAGCCTGTTTTTGTTTTTTAAACTTTAGATCTTTAAAATTTTGCAACGACCTGACGACCTGACTCACACATGGGTAATAACCATCTCAGACTTTCTCCACCTTCCACAGTCTTTAGTCTTCCTTCTTCCCACAGCTCCCATTCCAGTGGAAGTCAAAGAAGAGATCAGCGGCGCTTATAACATACACGAAGTTTCCCAAAAAAGCCCTTATTGGCATGGAATTATAAAAGCAGGTAAAAAAGGGAAAAAATATTAATTCGTTTTCCCAGCTTATTTAAAAAATGTGGTTAGAACATACTCAATATAAAAATCTCAAACACAAAGCACAAAAAGGGTAAGTCCTTCTACTCCCTTATAAATCACATTCTCCAGAGAACACCACTGTTTTAAAATGTCTAGACTCATCCTAAATATATACAAACACTACAACACAAAATATATTGGATATTAGATTTACTATTCAGGCTTTTGTCTGAGAACAGATTTTCACGTCAAAACACACAGATCTTACTTTTTAAATTTTTTCCATAACCAAAGTGGGTGGCACTGAAGGGCTGGTTTAAAAAATTATGTCGTGTACAACTGAGAGTGGATGAAATACAAAAATTTAGCTACTTGTTTATAAACGTTATAAAGTTTCATTTCAACACAGTACACTTTAAATAATTTCCACTTGTTAAAGTTAATCCAGGAGGGTTAATTAGGAAATATTTTACTGTACTACAACAAGGAAAGGAGGAACAATGGCAGTCTCTTAAGAAGCAGCATATTAGGAGAATAGAGCATGGGTAAAATTTCATAAAATATAACATAATTTGGGAAGTATTTTCTTAAGTCTTTAAAAAAAACCATACTTTTCAATGTGGTCTTAGTAAATGGTGCATCTGAAAACTAACAGATCCATGTTTTTGAAAGGAGGATAAAAAGTACAGATGTTTAAAACATATCTTTCAAAAAATAGGATATGCATCAGAAAGGATAAAACTTCCACTGACAGCAAAACAATAAATGAATAATATATCCTGAAGTTTTCATCTAAGAAAATTCAATTTATAAATATCATATCTAACCTAAGACCCCCTTTTTACCTTCCTAAAAAAAAACAAAATCCTAAAATTTCTACCTTTAGAAATTTGTGCTAAATCAAAGAGAGACTAACCTACTTTATCCATGTCACCCCTGCTCCAGCTCGCTCTGCAGTGAGTGGCCCGTCACTCCCACCCACTCAGTGGACCTCTGCAGGCCATGCCTCACACACGAGGTTTCCCACATGCCTGTGATTTCCTCGCAGGAGGTCTTGGCCAGGTCCAACACGGTTGTTTGCTCTAAAGTGACGTTATCAGCAGAGACAAACACAAGGTCAATCCCAGAAACTGCTTAGGCCCAAAAATACTAACAGCAAAAACACATTTTGGTCATGAAAATGTCAACTGCCCCTTCCTCTTCCAACAAATACACTGGGACCAATTCCACATGCACATCAGACTCATTCCTCTCTCCCAAAGCCCCGCTTTTCCACACACTGCGCGCAGGACAGCTAGTCTTCAAACAACACACCACCTTGTCTCACCTGAGAGGGCAGATTTGGGGCATCTTACACTGGAAAGCTTTTTGTGTGTGTCTTTCTCTTTTTTTAATTTTATATCGTACCATAGAGTGTAGTCTAAGAAATACTGTAAATGAAAATAGATAGGCCTCCCACAACCAGTTCTTTTACAGTGACTCGTAACAATGAAGTTTAAAACATGAACAGATTATGCGTGGAACAAGATTTGACTTGAGTTTATAAAAAGCATTCTAAGATCATAAAAGCGTTTACATTCATTTCAAATTGTTTACTGTAGTGAAATTTAGTTGAACCAAAGTTTCTGAAATGCTAGAACTGTTGTTACTCACTTATCTTTTATTTCAAAACGTTCATGAAGCCATCTTCTCATATATACTTGTTCTTCTGGGACATCTTTTTTGTCTATACGATCAATGTGAATATGAATTTTTGGACATTCTTTGCAGAGAAATTCTAAGAAAGAAAAATATTTCATTTTTAAAATTATTTTAGAACTCACAGTTATACTATAATGAAAATGAGGTAAAAAAATTTTAAGTGATGAAAAAGTACAGATTCCTTATTTATCAAAAAACAAAGTTAAAAGAAAATAAAGACTATAAACTGTGGTTTTGGGTTTCAAGGTGAAGTAGAAGAGTATGTTGTAATTTTCAAGTCTACCACAATTCCCTAAGCCATTAAGTTAAATCAATAGTACAAACGTTACTCTCTACACAACAGCTTTTACCTCTATAGGCAGCCCAGGAATAGGAAGTTGGACTCTCACTAGAAGTAAGTACCCACCCTCGAAAGGAGTCCCCAAATGCCAACCACCATCAGACCCACCAATCATCTTCATGGGACCACTAGTCTTCCATTCCCAAGCCTATCATTTGTCACACATTGTCACTGCTGTTCCCACTGGACTGCGAGTCCCACAAGGGCAGAGATGGAGTCTGTCTGGTTCCCTCTGGCAAAGCACTGGGCACACAGGGGCACTTAATCCCCATCAATCCCTAGTGCCTGAGCTGGCACATGAGCCTCCATTGCTGACTGCTACTCGGCCACATCAGACTTGGGAGAGGGATCTCCTTTCCTCTCTGACTTGCTATTGGCTTCCACTCACTGGTACTCCTTGCTTTCCTGATCCTTGCCATGAAAAACAGACTATACGTGGTTCAGGAACCAAATTCCTTTTGTAGAAGAGCTATGTGCTCTTAAATAACTCTAGCTCCTAAGACATACTAATTTGACAAAAGCAGACAGCCTTTTTTCAGCCGGGGTTGCACAAGAGATGAGGCTAGGATTTATTCCAAGATAAGAAAGAACTTTGAGCCTGGAAACTCCCTTTTTTGTAGGTGGCTCTGTGGAGAGCCGAGAATATTAACATACTTAAAATTCCTTGGAGAACAAGGAAATACTCCTAAGACATTTAAGAGAAGACTATGTTCCCTAGGCGGGTATGCAAGCAGGAGGCTGAGACCTTCTCCCTCAAGTTGCAATGTGTTCAAAGACGTGTTCTAAGAGATGGTGACTGGCATGCTGCACAGTTTGACAAAGCCTTTAAGCCTCTCCTTAAAGCAGTCTCTACTCTTTTGACTCCACATCCATCCCTTTTTCGCTAAGGACTCTCTTCGACTGCTCTTCTTTACTTATGACGTCAAGCGTTAGTAGTAGTAACATGCAGCATTTTGGGCATCAAAAATTATCTTATTTTTTATATACTTTTAGGAGTGATCTGGCTTTGATGATAAATGTGCAAAAACACTGTAATAGGGAAGATTGTAGCTTTTCAATATTTTTGTCTTAATTTCCCTCAGGTTCTATTGTCATTTAAATAATCAAAGAACTGCTTAAGTACTTTTAGAATTGTGCGTCAGTCAAGAGCATGGACAGTGAGCCAGGCAGCCTGGCTTTCGATCCCTTGTCAACCCAGGCAGATCTGTCAGCCTCTTCCCTGTTCCCACCTGCCCAGCAGGTGGTTGCGGGAGTCCTCTGAGCATGCAGAGCACAGAGTTTGCACCACATGTTAGCTATCATAATTTTTTAGTGGCATATCCTTCTCATTTGGCCCTCTTATTTCTATTTCTAATACATAAAAACGCAGACTCCAACATCAATTTTCCTACCTTCACTTAATTATCTACATCTCCCCCTCAACATTTCCATAATTAAGTCATCATCCAATTGACACTGCATTTATCCTTGATATTGCAAGCACTGTGTATGGCTACAGACTGTGAGGAAATGAAACCGACTGCACTTTAAATGTCAGAAGTGAAATGTGTATGAACTAAAGCGGTCAGAATGTGATGGCAACGCATCTAATAAGACAGGAGCTCAGGAGGGAAGAGCACTCACACTGTGAGAAAGGAGCTCCAAAACTTACATGGGTGTTTTAGGCTTTTCTTCCCCTGAAATTTACACGGTGACTTTGGCATTTAACACACTTTCTTCTACATTGTTTCACTTGATCTCCACAAGTCTACGTAGGTGAGTACTATTACCTCCTCATAGGGATGAAGAAACTAAGGCTCAGAGAGGACCAAGGCCTGGAGTAGCTGGTAGGGGAGCCAGATCAGCCACTTCTGTGGTCAGGCATCCAACCAGAGCCCTAAGGTACCATCAGATAACCACTAACTGACGTTCGGGAGGCCCTACCACCAAGGACAAGCAGTCAGGAAAACAAATACTTTAATATCTAACAGAGCTCTTGTATCTATATTTGTAAAAACTATCTTAAAGATTTTCTTTTTTCTCCCCAAAGCCCCCCGGTACACAGTTGCGTATTTTTAGTTGTGGGTACTTCTAGTTGTGGCATGTGGGACGCTACCTCAGCGTGGCTTGATGAGCAGTGACATGTCCACACCCAGCATCCGAACCGGCGAAACCCTGGGCCGCCGAAGTGGAGCGCACGAACTTAACCACTAAGCCACGGGGCTAGCCCCTCTAAAAACTATTTTAGTTGGGGCATATTTCATATTGCATGGGCGAAAATTATCCCATAATATTAGGGAACACAGGGAAAAATACTCCAATGAAGGTACATTTCTTTTCTAATCGTCACTTTCCCGGTGGAGCCCTAGAGTAAACTGACAGGCTAGGGCACTACAGGAAGTCTTCCCGGTGTCCACACACGTCACAGAGCCAGCCCCTGGGGAAGCGGAGCCCGTCTGCTCAGGGCCTGGGGAGCCCAGCATGAGCAGCCAGGAGAGAAAGTGGGAGCAGATGACGGGCCTGTGCTGAACCGAGGCCTCCACATGCTACGTCCTCACTCAGCTCCCACACTGCTGACTGTCAGCTTATCATCTGCCCCCTCACCTTTCTCTGGGGGAAAAAAGACTATCTATATTTATATAAAAATACATATATATAAATATAACCTAGATTCAACAGTAGAAAACGGGGCAGGTAAGGCGTATATTCATATCAATGAACACTATGTAGCCTTTAAAAAATAATTACAGAAGTGTGTGTACTGACATGTAAAGATGTTCATGACACACTACTAAGCACAAAAAAGCAAGCTATAAAGAAAGCAATATATATATGAACCATTTCATTGTTTTTAAATACATAAAGGCACATATACACTCCAACACACAGGCATAATAAAAAGAAGATTCTGAGAACAGCATCCAAACTGCTAACTGGTGCTGCATCTGGACAGGTGAGCGTGTGGAGTCTTTTTCCCTTTTTGTGGGTTACCTGTAATTTTCCCCTCAAAGTATGTTTTATTCTCATAAAGAAAATATTAATAAAATAGTTACCTAGAGTCATATAAAATGCTTCAATAGAATATCAAATACTCTCTTTAAGCTCACAATTTATTACCCATACCACTCAGTTTAGAAAGAGAATTTGGAAAAAGTCAATTATAATCAAACTGCCCCTTCTTACCGCGCCCCCAATGGACATTGTCCACGAAAGCACTCTGACTCCGACGACAAGCCCAGATGAACCACGCACCAGAGGATGCCCGGGGGTTTTGATCAATAGCCACCTTACGATGAAATACACCACGAAATGGGAAAGCCAGAGGACATGACCTGCTGCCCATCTCGCTGATGTGAGGCCTCACTAAGGCCTCAGCCGTAGACTCCCGTGACCACAGAATCTGTGCCAAGTTCACTAGCACTGCAGCTCCCGCCCTCACCTGCAGCGAGGCCCTGTCAGCGGTCTAGACTGGTGCTGGGGCCCTGCACGGTCAGCAACCATCCCAGGTGATTCTGATGCATCTATAATCCTCCTACAATGCTTTGAGAAACACTGGCCTATGGCATATAAATGAACAATCTAGCAACTTTATGGAAAAACATTGTTTTTATAATTGGGCTACGAAATATGGATATTAAATGATAGTCCACTATGTATGAAGATAATATTTAATACCAATTAAACACAAAGTACTTACAATATTCTAAGTCACAGAATTTCATACCTAACGCAACTTACATTATACTTCATAGAAATGAAAGTGAGCCTTAATCTATACTAGATTATAAGTAAAGCATAATATCAATTAACTTATATAATAATGAGAGCAGGGCTTTTCAAGCTACAGGTCCCAACGCACAATTAAAATAAACACACAACAAGGGAAACCAGGTATCATTTCTTACGTGCACAGGTAATGTGCAGAAGAATGGCTCAGTAGTGGGAATGTAAATGCATCTGCGAATTGGACAAACATTGCCAAGATAACTTCTACAGAGGTTCTACTATGCTGTACTCCTAACAGCAAAGCAGATAAGGGCCTGTTCTCCGTTAATCTCACCCCAGGGCCTGTTACCAAACCTGCCATAGGGAGGTTTGCCAGTCTCATAGTAAAAATATGGTATCTTACTGTATGTTTTAATTTGCATTTTTCTTATAATGAATGAGGTTGAACATTCTTTTCTGTGAACTGTCTGTTGTTACACTTTACCCATTTTTCTACTGAGTTATCGGTCACCTTCTCATCAATTTGTAGGAACACTTTATACATTACAGAAATTAGCCTTTTTTCTGTGATCTAAGTTGCAAATATTTTCCCAGTCTGCCTTCAATCTTTTGATTTGATTCTAGTATATTTTTCCATGTAGAAATATTTATCTTTAACTGATTGAAATGATAGATTTTATTTTCTACATGGCTTCTGGGTGTGATAGTTGGGAAAGCCAACCCTTTCAAAAATAGAGACATTCTGTAATGAACACACAGAGCCACTGTCAGCTAACGTGTAGTAGACTAAGCAGTGCCGTGGGAGGGGTGCTGGGTCTGGAACCTGGGCTATGCAACTCTGAAATGGTTTGCTTCCTCAAGCTTTTCTGATCTAGCTGGGAGGAGACAGAGTTACCATACGCTAAGTATCATATGCTTGTGGCACGTGCAGTGCCAGGAAGCGCCAAAGCAAGAGAAAGTGCTATGAGCTAGAAAGCAAATGACTAGGAAAGACTTCATCAGACACGGAGGTTGAGGGGGAGCAGACTTGGATGGGGGCAACAAAGGGGAAGGAGGGGGTTTCATTTGGAAAGGAGGCCTGGCCTACACATAGCCTTCCGTTACAGAACCTGCGTGGAGGTACATGAAGAGGTCCGTAACAGCAGTAAACCAGCTCCCCTTCTCAGCACAGTGCAGGAGGGACAAGGGAGAGAGGAGCTCGGGCTGGAAGACAGAGTCCTTGGATGGCAGGCTAAAGAGGCGAGTATTTACCCTGTGAACACAGCCAAGCCATCAAGATCTTATGAGCAAGACGGTGACACAATGAAAACAGCATTTTAAAAAGGTTCTTATGGGAATTATATCTGTTTTTCATACTTAATAAAAACATGTTTAATCTCATTTTTTAAACAATGTTTGATAAACTAATGATAATATTGTTGAACAATTAAATGCATGTCTGTTTTCAAATATAAAAACAGGTCAATGACTCCTTCAATGGTTAAAAAAGAAAAATATTATTACATTTCCTTTTTAATAAGAAAGGAGAAATGGTAGAGTAAGAATATCCACATATGATACAAAAGAAATTAAGTAGTGGTCACCTCTGGGAAAGGAAAGGGGCAGACCAGGCGGACGGGGACAAGGTGGAAACCAACTATGCCTTACACAGTTTTAATTTTTAAACTGTTTGATGTATAATATATTCCAAAAAATTACATTTAAAATGGAAAAAAAAGAACTTTAGCTTCCTACTTCACAACTACTCTGTGTTAAAGGCAATTATAAGGGCAATCACTCTTGTTTCAGATTTTATTTCCTCCAGCACGGTCAATTTTTGGACCATTTAGCCCCCTTGTGCCTCACTCCGCCATCCCCTCTCCCAAACTTCCTGCTTGGGGAGCTCCTCTTTATGCCTTTTGAACGTATTTTGAACCTCTGCCTTCCAGAGATCCTACTGAGGGAAGCACTCTGACGTCAGCTCCAGTCAAACAGCTGCTGGGTGGAGCATAAAGCCCAGTGCTCTCTCCACCACAGCACGAGCGGACACACTGAGAAGGGGACGGAGGCTCCACACGCCTCCTCGTTCACCTGTTCTCACGTTTAAATTTCTCTCACAGGCCAGAGAGTTTGGGTTATGTTTAAAACATTATGCTCACTAACAATTTTACTTTTTATTGTTAAATCTGACATACATACACAGATAACAGCTCAAAGGTCCCTAAAACCTAGCACGTTTGAAAAAAGAAAAAGTCATACTTCACCTGTTCTTCTTGTCAATGATCCTAAATTTCATAAATATTATGTGAAAAATACATATAAAGATGAACACTGACCATCAGTGCCCATCTCAGTATCACTAGGCCAGCACTCCCCATCCTTACTCCTTCCTTGGATGCACGTAGCTTTCCATTTTTATGTGTCAACTTTGGGTACAAAGAGGCTGAGTTAATGATAATGGGCGAGTCCAAAGGACTAAAACGGTTACAGATTTGAACTGTTACAGATTAATAAAAAGTACTTGAAAATATATCAAGTATATTTACTTGGAAAACATATCAAGTAAATGCAGTGAAGTAGAGTACACTTACTTATTTTTTAAAAATGAATTACACGTTCATAAATATATATGATTCAATTGAAAACAAACTTACCAGCCATGGATGGTGCTTCTTTGCGTTGCCCTTTGTCGTCCATAGTCCCTTCGAAAGCCACTGTAACGTCATAAATTGCATCTAAATAGCTCTTCATAGTATCAAAAGCAACATGGGTTGCCTTCACTCTTGGTGTCAGCACATGTTTTAATACTGGAAGGCCTAGAAGATAAGTTGATTCCATGTGGCCATAAACTAGTTACGAAACATCTCAGTAATAGAATAGAACAGCTAAATTCTTCCTAAATTTCCATGAATAGACCAACCAGTATACATTAACGCCATAATCTGAGATCTACAGAACTTTCAGAAAGCACTCTCACATGACTTCCTCTATTTAAATCAACATTCATTTAATACATATCTATTAAACATGTACACACACAAGGCATTGTGGGAAGATGTTGGAAAATCAGCCCTCAAGAAGCTTATGACCTATCAACAACCCTTCAATTTAGTAACCCTGACAAGGGCAAATATGATTCTCATTTCTGGCAACAGAATAAAGGTGACAGCATCTTGCTCATGGTCACTCAAGATTCAGGAGTACAATTCATAATTTCTAACTCCTAGTCTATGATTCTTTCAGCTCTATTTTTATTCAAATAAGAACTAGGTGGGGGGGGGGGTGGATTACCTAAATGACCCCCACTGTGCACAGTATCTGAGGTAAGAGCTGATGTGGTCTATATAATACAATCTAGTTTCTTGTTATATATATATATATTTTTTAATTGAGGTATAACTCACATACCATAAGATTCACCCTTTTAAAGTATACATTCAGTGGTTTTTAGTATATTCAAAGAGCTGTGCAACCATCACCACTATCAAATTCCAGACCATTTTCATCACTCCAACAAGGCACCCTGTACCCTTTGCAGACATTGCATTCTCCCCTACACCACCGCACCCTACCCCAGCCGCCACGAGTCTACCTTCTCTCTGTATAGATTTGCCTCTTATGGACCTTTCACATAATGGAATCATACAGTATGTGGACTTTTGTGGTCTTTCTTCTTTCACCTAGCATAAAGTATCCGAGGTTCTTCCATGTTGTAAGATATACCAGTACTTCATTACTTTTTATGGCTGAACAGTATTCCATCGTATGGATCTACTACAGTTTGTTCATCCATGGGCCAGTTGATAGATATGTGGATTGTTTTCACCCTTTTGCAATTACGAATAATGCCACTACAAACATTCATATAAATGCATATGAATGCTGCATGTGAAAGTTTTTGTACAAAACTATGATTTCAATTCTCTTGGGTATACTTGAGATACATAAATATGTATATACACACACACACACTTTTAAAAGTTTCTCTGAGAAAATATTGGAATTTATATAGAATAATTAATCACATATTCATTAGTGCTCCTACCAGTGCTAAGAATTTGTTCTCCCAAATTTCCTACTGCCTCCCTTTTCCTGGATTAGAATATTTGCCGACAATTTAACAGAAAACAGTAGCTCTCTGAAGTGACATGCAAACAGACTAGGAAAAGCTTGCCTTGGATTTTCCCCGGCCTCCCTCCAGGGAAGATGAGCTGCATAAGGAAGAGCAGCTACAGCATGTTGGGATCTTCCCGCAGAAGAATTTTTAGAATGCAGAGTGGTGTGGGAAAGAAGAAGATTCCCACAGCCACGTATCCGACTGACGTCCCCAGGGCAGACGCCAGTTCACTTCTTCACAACCTCACAACAAAAATCTGAATAGTACACCAGGCTGGCAAACATTTATTTGTTCATTAAATTAGTTAATACTTTCTGCTTTGCTATTGGAGCTCACCCAGTTCTATGAAGTCCAAAGTCCCACAGAATCACTCTGTGGTATGCAGAAAGAACAAGTAATTACTAGAGTCTAAGTAGGTCAGTAAGATGTGCGGAGAAGAAAAAATCTGAAGGAGAAGGTCAAACATACTCATTTAAAGACACTGAAAGGTCCAGAACTGAGAAGGGACTGACCGCCTGGCAAGACAGAGGTTCCGGGTACCTGGCCTAGTATCTTCAGTGGGGTGGGAGGAATGGAAGCTCACGGGGGGTTAAGTGATGTGTCAATGTGTGAGGTGAGAAAAACAACAGCCAATTCTTTCCTGCATGTATTTACTACACACGGTCTATTAATTTTCCCAGACTTAGAATAATATAAGATACCCTTACCTTTATGACAAACAGAATCTGGCCCTTCTTTGATATCAGAAGTCCCTTAACAATGTGAAGTCCCAGCCATGGACTCCTCCAGTCCACAAGAGGAATGATTTATCTTCTCTGGCCAGGTCTTCAACTCTTAACAGTGAGGAGGGCACTCACTATCCCCAAACCTTGGGTCATTATTATACAACCAATTTCATGATAGCAACATAGAGCACAATTGGAATTTAATGACAGGTGTCCATAATTACCTGCTCGAGCTTGAGCCCATCACACTGAGACTAGATCTCCCCAGGAACCAGAGCAAAGCCCTGAGCCCCAACAGAGAAAAACGGCAGCTGATGAAGTTAATTCACCTGGTCAATAGCTGGTTCTCTACTTTAGGATCTGCTCTGCCTCATTTCACGTCCAGATCCCCCGAGCTCCCACTTGGTACTAACGGTAACCTCACCCCCCGACCCTCCCACCCCTGCCCCGACTATGCTTCTCCCTGAGGCCATGCGGTGGTGGCTGGTATAACTGAAACTCTGCTGTCAGTATTATATCGTGGAAACATCATAAATAAATGATAAACACACTGGAGAGAGAAGCCTTTATTGATCCATATAGAAAATCCTACATTATGTATATTATCATCTCACTTGACTCCCACAAATTAAGTAACTAAGGTTCAGAGAAGTAAAATGACTTGCTCAAAGTCACACAGCTAGCAAGACCTTTTAATGTCTTATTTAGTACTTTTTCTATTCAGTAAATTTTTTTTTTTTTAAAGATTTTATTTTTTCCTTTTTCTCCCCAAAGCCCCCCGGTACATAGTTGTGTATTCTTCGTTGTGGGTTCCTCTAGTTGTGGCATGTGGGACGCTGCCTCAGCGTGGTCTGACGAGCAGTGCCATGTCCGCGCCCAGGATTCGAACCGACGAAAGACTGGGCCGCCTGCAGCGGAGCGCGCGAACTTAACCACTCGGCCACGGGGCCAGCCCCTCTATTCAGTAAATTTTAATAGGATACTACTCTAAAACTATAAACATGTAGGTTAGAGATTAATGAGGCAATAAAATAAACTTAAGCAGCTACAGTACATTGCAGAATGTCCTAAAAGAGATACGAAATATTCTCAGAAGATAAAAATATTACTCCGACTTACAGACTTTATCTGGTCACTCCTGTCTAATTGGGGAAAGCGTCGGGAACAAGAGGACACGGAGAAGGTGAGAGGGAGGTTCGCAGCACACAGAGTGGGGGAGACAGACAGACGAACAAAGGCAAAGAAGGACGGACCTGGACGGTCTGTGCAACACATGCACAGAGCTAGTAAGACACAAGATCAAAAAGTACCTTGGAGTCACATCGCTAAAAGCTTTAGAATGATAAGCTGATGCACTGATATTGATCTGTGGGACTCCAAGGATGTTAGGCCCAAGGAGAGATACAATCTAGGTGCTAAGAAAAACGGTTCAGGTTTCCGAAATAGTTTAGGACATTAGGTCACAGGCAATGAGATCCTGAGTTAGGACTGAAGCAGTGCAAACTGAAAAGAGAAAATGTAGTCAAATGATGTTATAAAAACAAAATATACACTGATTCAGCAACTAAGTGAATGTGGTAATAAAGGAAAAGAAGTAAAAAATACCCGGGCTTCTGCCCTGGAAGACACGAACAAGGTTGCATCATAAATAGAAAGAGAATGGCCAGGAGGAAGAGCTGGCGAGGGGGGTTGTGAGTGTGCAGATACCCATCACACAGAAAGAGCAGAAGGGGGAGAGCAGGAGGCAGGCAAAAACAGAGAATACGAGTTCAAATTGGGCACGCTGAAGTTGAAGTTGGATAGAAAACTCCAGAAGGAGTTGGAAATATGGTCTGTAAAATGGTCAAGAATCCACCAGAGATAAACATCTGGGAATCATCTGAACAGACATGAAAGCTGGAGTAATGGCAGTGACTGAGAATACGAAAGGACAGAAGAGAAAAGGCAAGGAATGCCTTAGGGAACATTCACTTCTCAAAAAAAATAAAAGATAAAATGATAATGGGGACTAAGAGAAGCCAGAACAAAAAAGAGGAAAGTCAATGGAATGCAAAAGCTCAGGGAAGAGAATGTTTAAGGGAAGAGGAGGTGATACTTAAAAAAAAAAAAAATTATATATATATATACTGTCGCCATATTTATTTCTACAAAATAGTTGTTTCCTCATTATAAAAGTAGTAAGGTCATAAATAATGTCAAAAGCCACATGCACACTAACCACTATGAGAAGTGATCAAGATGCCATGAGACTGTAAGTTAGCGATGGCTAGTAAGATGGAAGTGGGGTGAACACCTCAAGAGTGGATGGGGGCACAAAGAACAAGGAAAGGGGCCCAGACTTCTCTTCCAGGAAGATCAGCGCTAAAGAGAAGGAGAGAGAAACCAGCAAAGCCACAGGTGGGGAATACATGCCCCTACCTATGTATACACACACACGTGCACACAGGCACACACACGCATGCACATGTGTGCGCACACGTACATACACACGCACTATTTATATGAGAATCAGGCTGTGTTTTTACACTGGGGGGAATGCAGTAGAGAGGAGTGTGGTGGTGATGTAAGCAAAAGGAACTTACTGAAGCAACAACATTAAGATTTTGAAATAAAGGGATCTGCATGATTATACAATACAATCTTTTCAGAGAAACATAACTTCAAGGCAAAGAAACTTGGAGATGTGAGGGGAAAAAAATCTGAAAAATATAAGAGTCAGACAAAAAGAGAAAAATAAAACAATTTCTAAACACAGCATTACTGGCTCAGCTGAGATTAGACAGCAGGGATTGGTTGCAGAAGGCAACCAGCATGGATTTTTACGATGCTCCCATTGCCACAGGAGAGAGAAAACAAACCAGGTTACGAGAAATACAACAAGGTGGAAACAAAACATGCCTGGAACCGGAGCTGCAGGGAACAGCAGCAGCTGACTGCAAGGCTGGGGGGCAAACAAGAGCTACATGAGGCCTAG